ACAAATTTTTGTGCACCGGGCCTCTAGTCTACACTAATAAAAGAGAAACATGGTAATTAGCTGTACCTCTGCTACCATTCCCATTGGCTAATCAGAGCGATATGCAAATTAACTGCCAGCCAAGATGTCGGCCGGCAGCCAGGCAGCTTGAAGCTAACAGGAGGCTTGCTTGCTTCAGTGACAGAGGAAGCCAACGTTCCCCGCCTGCCGCTGCCGGCCTCTGAGCTTGCAGTTTGAAACATTGTTACAAATATAGAAGCTAAACAAAACCCCAGAAACCTGCTTTCAGCCAGCCAAGATCTCAGAGCTGGAGTTGAAACAGTGTATCGATTATAGAACCCAAACAAACCAGATACCTGCTTTCAGCAGCCGAGGCCTAAGAGTTGGAGCCAAGCCTCAGAGCTAAAGCTGGCCCAGAATAAAAAGAAAAAAAAAAAAGGAGCGGTTGGGAGCTTCAGTCACCCGCCAGCCTGAAAACGGCCCTCAGCCCCTCACCCAGACTGGCCAGGCACCCCAGTGGGGACCCCCACCCTGAAGGGTGTGTGACCAGCTGCAAACAGCCATCATCCTCTCATCCAGGCTGGCCAGGCACTCCAGTGGGGACCCCCACCCTGATCCAGGACACCCTTCAGGGCAAACCAGCTGGCCCCCACCCGTGCACCAGGCCTCTATCCTATATAGTAAAAGGGTAATATGCCTCCCAGCACCAGGATCAGCGGAGCCGCGAGGTCTCCCGGCACCGGGATCAGCGTGACAGGGGGCAGCGACCAAACCCCCTGATCACCCTGAGGCTCTGTGTGTGACAGGGGGCGGGGCCACAACCTCCCTATCCGCCCTGCTCTGTTCGTGACAGGGGAAGGCGCCCCAACCCCCTGATCAGCCCTGCTCTGTGCCTGATAGGGGGGAGCTCCCCAAACCCCTGATTGCCCTGCGGCTGTGTGTGTGACAGGGTGCAGCGCCCCAACCCCCTGATCGGGCCCTGCGGCTCTGGGTGTGACAAAGTGCAGCGCCCCAACCCCCCCCCCCCCCCGTCTGGGCTGACCTTCGTCCAGTGCCCGGAATTCAAGCTATACACAAAGATGGGGGCTTTTGTGTCTGAGAGGAATGACCCGTACCCCACCCCCGACCCACACTCAGTGAGAGTATTTGCGAGACTCCACATCCCTTGGTGAACGCTCCGAGTTGCTCACCTTGCGTGGGTACTCTGTTCCCTTGTCCTGCCTCTCTGGTGAGGAAGCTGAGGGTGATACCGAATCTGCTGAGCAGGCTCAGGAGGAGGATGGAGGAGACTGGGTCACCGATCCCCTTACCGTGGAGCATCCTGGCATTACTGCGAGACTCTGCGCCAAAGACGTAGTGACCCCCACAGTGCAGGCACTAGGATGAGGCCCCTCAAAGGCCCTGTAAACACGGCTCCCCAGACTCATCCCGGGGAAGAGCCCTGACTCGCTAACAGGTGCCTCCGCTGAGAAAATGGGATGGGATGTATGTCTCCTGCTCCACATAACGCTGCTCTTGTTCCCTGGGAAAGAGAGGGTGGCCTCCTTGCACGACTGGGGATCCCTGGCCTTGCCGATTAAGG